CAGATGGTGGCTCCTGTCCTGTCTCTTCCGCAGAGCCTATCTCTAGCCGACACCTCCACAGCTGACTGTGGAGACAGGAGAGAGATTCTGAGAGAGGAAATGAATAGACTGAATAGTTTCCTGGGGGACACTGCTCTGGACGAAATTCTCACTGAACAGTGTGCCCCTCCCTCTTCCCTGCTCCAGGATCCCGACCTCTTCAGCAGAGCCCATGGCTGGCCAGTCCACTTCTGACTGCATCTGCTGCCAAGCTAAGTGTGTACATGCTGAATATTCTTGCCCTTTCTCTTTGGGATCACACTTTTGCGAAAGAGTTTGCTCTGTGAGTTTCAAGGTGTCTGTGGCAAAGTGTTTGTCCACCTGTCTGTCAGGTTTAGGTCTACCTAAAATGGTTTCAAGAGGCTGAAAACCCTCCACAAAAGTCGGATACAATTAAGTGCTTATGAGACTGTGAGCTGGTTTTGGGAGGGGGGGGGATGCGGAACTAACATGCCCCCGAGTTGTGTAAGACTGGCTGGCTTATTCGACTTGTGGGCATGGTAGGGGCAACAGGTGTCCCAGGAGCTGCTGACAGGAGAGCCCAAGGGGCCAGGCTGGTCATCCACATCTTCATGAGGGCCTGAGGGCTGGGTCCGAGATGGGGGTTGGTTCGGGGTAGAATGGCTGTACTTTAGGGAACCATTCATCATCTATAGGGTGGAACAAGCCAGGAGGGGTCAGGCCAGTGCCAGGTTCTGTGGAGGAGAAGGGGTTTCCCAATTGGGCCGTGTCTAGGGGAGACAAGGGTTGTGACTGCTCGAGCCACGGTGTCTGGACTGGCTGATCAACTTGCAAAGTCAGGCCCCTGGTTCTGGCCAGAAAGGAGGAGAGTGGAACAGCACAAACTTTGCTCTTCACTCGGGAATCTTGCATATTGCCCTGCTGTGGGCTGTGCTCGGGGCTGCTCCTCAGGTCTTCACTCTGACTCCACACTCTGTTCACCAGCCATTTCCACAGCACAAGCAGATTCAAATTGGGGCTTGCTCCTTGAGCTGGGCTCCGGACTGCAGTGGGCTTGGCGCTATCTCCAGGGCCCTGAGTTTTGCATGTTGACTCCAGTCACAGGGGCTACTCATGGGATGGAGCCAGCTGGGAGGCGTGGCTCTGCCGCTCACTGTCTGGGGGCCCTGGCAGTGACTTCTGAGGCCCAGATTTCCTCCTATGGACAATGACCCCTGCCCTGTAGGGCAGCAGGGATCTGGTGGGAAATGGCCTGGGAAGCCGAGTTCATGGACGAGCCCGCGGCTGGGCTGCACTATCTGCCTTTCTGCTTGCCATGTACCTCTCAGCAACACGGCGCTTCTCCCGTTTCCAATGTCCTTGGCCGGACTTGCTCACTCAACCGCCCAACCACAGCATCAGAAGTCAGAGCCGAGCCCTCAGCTCCTACTCCGTGGAGAATGGGAGCCGACTGAGCCTCCTGCTGTCTGGATGGTTCTATGTCCCTGCGCTCACAGGCTGCTGGGCTTTGGCGGTCACCAGGGCTCTCTGTAGTATAGAGAGCAGTTCCCGAAAGAGCTCACTCCCACCCTGGCCTCAGCCCAAGTCTGCCCAGGACCCCGGAGCTGAGAGCTTCTTCCTCCCATGCTATCCCTGCCAGGGCCCCTGCCTGCAATGCCCATCTCTCCTCTGCATTTTCTGCTGTACTCACCCACCTGCCGTGCCTGACCCAGCACCACCCAGCCCTGTGCGGGCCCTTGCCAGCCTGTCCTTTGCCCAGTGCCTGCGCCTGAGTCCCCCTTCAGCCTCTTGGTTGCCGGCACAGAGAATCCAGTGTCTCAGGATAGAGGAGGTGCTGGCCACAGTCAGTCCAGGAGGCAACGCTGTGGCTTCAGACAGTAGGGGTGCAGGGCCTTTGCCCTCCTAGGGCCCCCAGGAAACACACGGCTGGCTGGATCCGGGTGACTGCTGGCCACAGTCTGCTCTTTCTCTCTTAAGAGGCCCCCGAGGAACAGAGTTGGGCCTTTATAGTCTGCAGGTGGAGGGGATTAGTGGTGGAATTTGCCAGAAAGAAGGGATTTGGGATGGGCCCTCATTAGAGTCCTAAACTTCCACCTCAATTTCTCTGGAATTTGTCCTTGATGTGTAAAATGCAAACTGTCTTCTCAGCATATTCCTGCTGGGCCAGGTCGTTGGCAACTGTCAGTGGGAGGAAGCTCATTATTAATTGTTCTCCAGGGCTTCTCTTTAATGTCGAGGATCTAAAACAGGGGTAGTCAGAGGGTGGGTCCCAGAGACCGTGGGGCCTTTTTGGATGAAGACATAGGGCACACTTGGAACCCAGAGCACTAGTTGGATCTTGGGGTCCAGATCAGCTCCCGGGATGGTGAGGAAAGCTATTTTGTCCATTACATCGCTGAGGGACCGGACCCCCTTGCCTTGCTCCAAAGCCCCAAATTCTGCAATCATTCTTCTCAGACTAACCATGACTTCAAAGTCGGGGATGCTGGTGGGCTAAGTGCTGGTGGGCTAAATGCTGGTGGTGCCATGACACCGGCACTTTCTCCTCCTCTGAGCCCTGGGCCAGCAGACCCAATGTGGATGACCCAATGTGGACTCCCTGCTTGGGTGCACAGTGCTCACCATGGCCTGGCAGAGGCGGAGGCCTTTCATGAGAAATTCGTTGGTGGCTGAGTTGAATGGGAACAACTTTCTACCTCGAAGGCTGGGCCCCAATCTGAACCCAAGTACCAAGTTTTCTATTCTTAGGGCAACAAGATGCTTTGGGAAAACTTGGCCACAGGGAACATAGAGGTGGCTAGGTTTGCAAGGGGCATCCATCTGTGCTGTAAAGGGAGAGGGAGCAAGAGCGAGAGCGAAAGCGAGAGAGAGAGAGAGAGAGAGAGAGAGAGAGAGAGAGAAAGAAAGAGACAGAGTCAGAGTTGAATCTTAGGGGGTAGGAGGAGGGCTAGCTCAGACAGAAGCCTCCCCGTTTTTGTGTTTTGGGTCACACCTGGCGATGTACAGGGGTTACTCCTGGCTCTGCACTCAGGAGTTACTCCTGGCGGTGCTCGGGGGACCATATGGGATGCTGGGAATCGAATCCAGGTCGGCCACGTGCAAGGCAAAAACGAGTCACAAAGAAAAAGGGGGCTGGGGCTGGAGAGATAGCACAGCCCTTTTTCTTTGTGACTCGTTTGCTTGGTGAAGGAGACAAAAGTGTAGGTGGGGTAATGACTCCAGGGCCGGCAGGTCACTGTTTGGCTTCTCCCCCTCTCCAGCTAGCTTGGCGGGGGAGTGGGGTGTCCAGGCAGGGCACATGTCCAAGAAGATGGTGGTCAGACTGGAAGAGGAGACAGGACAGGCTCATTTAAAGGGAGCGAGGGCATCTATAGAGACGCTTTTTCCAGAAGTACCTTGGGTTTTACCATCAGAAAAAGAGTCAAGACCAGCGTTGGCTGCTGAGGGAGAGGCCAGAGATGACATGAGGTTCACACAACGCATGGGTAGATGAAAGGACCTCACCTCAGGCAGCTTCCTCTGGGCCCACAGACCACTGTCCTCCCTCCTTCTCTCCCTCCCTCCCTCCCTCCCTTATTCCATCCTTCTCTCTGTCTCTGAAAATATTGGTAAGGGAAGGTCACTGGACACCCTCTGGGACTTCTGTAGAACCGATGGATTTTAGTCAACAATAGGTCCTGGAAAGAGCTGGCATCTAGGGCCAGCCCACGGCAGGACAGCAGGAACTGCTGAGGTCACTGGCCCCAGAGCTTGGAAGACAGAGTACAAAGAAATTGGGAACTTTTTGCATTCTAATGTGGAAAACTGAACAATGTGAAGAATTTCTGAACGCTCTCCTCTAGACCCTAAGGTGCTTGGCGTCAGTGCTGCAGTGCACTTCGGAACCTCAGGCTGGGGAGGCTCTCCACGAGTGGCTGGGTGGAGAGGTGGACCCAGCCAGGGGCAGTGGGCAGGCTTTCCTTGGTCTAGAGTCTCCCTGGGAAGGAACCTGAACTTCTCGGAAGGTAGAGGTGGTGTCTTCTGTGAGCCGAGGGAAGGGGTCACAAGAGTCCCAGGTTGGGCTTCTTGGTGGGATTTTGGCCCTGTGAGGTTGTGAGGCCTCTGACCTGGACCCTGGTTCTAGACCCGCTTCCTGCTGGCCCTGCTGCAGTTGCCCTTCCTTCTCCTCAGCCCTCCCCTTCCCCCTTCTCAGTCCTCAGCACATCCCGTCCTCTGGGACTGACTTTTCATCCACCCCACTCTCCCCAAGACCCCCTTACCACTAGTGCCAGGGACCCTGCTATATGCTTCTCATGGCCAATGTCCCAGAGGCCTCTACTGCACCGTCTCCCCACTCATTATCCTTCCCAGTCCCTTTCCCTTCATCCCAAGGTCCTCACCAGGGCTCTGCCTCAGCCCAGTACCTCCAGAGGTGGCCTGGTTGGGCAGAGTTGCTACCGGAAGAGACAGAGAAACGCTGACCTATCACTCCCGGCTGGCGCCAAATGGTCGGGATTATGGGCTGTGGCCAGTCCTGCAGGATGGCCCCCTCGCCCAACCCCTCGCCCCACTTCAGCTTAGTTTAGGTGAGTAACCCTGGGAAAAACAAAGCCAATTTAGAAATTTGGGGTGATTACCGAGGTGTGTTTTGCGTTTTGGACTCGACCTTTTGCTGCCAGGCAAACCAAAGCTGGTAATACCTCAATTAGTTGGCTGGCACCGTTCACCAGCCTGGCGCCCTGGCCCTATATAAGGGACATCCCCAGCCCAGAACCCCAGACAGCCTCTGAATCTGCTGCAGCTTCCGAGTGCATCTGTCTTTGGAATAACCACTGTCCACCATGAGTCGCCAAGCCAGCTACAACCAGCAACAGTCCTTCAGGTCCTCCAGCAACAGCCGCCGCCAGGGCTTCAGCGGCAGCTCAGCCGTGGTCTCCAGACAGAGCCGGACCAGTTCCAGCCAGTGCGGCTCCCGATCTGGCGGCAGTGGTGGTGGCAGCGGGTCTGCGGCTTGTGCGCTGATGGGGGGAACTTACGGCAGCAGGAGCCTCTACAACCTGGGGGGGAATAAGAAGATCTCCATCAGCGTGGCTGGAGGCAGCATGCGGCCTGGCTTCGGGGGGGCCACCGGTTTTAGAGGTGGCAGCAGAGGAATGAGTGCGGGCTTTGGTGGAAGGACTGGGGGCTTTGGTGGAGGCGTTGGAGGTTTCGGTGGAGGAGCTGGAGGTTTTGGTGGAGGAGTTGGAGGCTTTGGTGGAGGAGCTGGAGGTTTCGGTGGAGGAGTTGGAGGTTTCGGCGGTGGCGCTGGTGGTTTTGGTGGCCCAGGTGGCTTTAGTGGCCCTGGTAGCTTTGGTGGGCCAGGTTTCGGAGCTGGTGGCTTCCCTGGGGGAATCCAGGAAGTGACTGTCAACCAGAGCCTCCTGCAACCCCTCAATGTGGAAATCGACCCCCAGTTTGGGCAAGTCAAGACCCAGGAGCGGGAGCAGATCAAGACCCTCAACAACAAGTTCGTCTCCTTCATTGACAAGGTGAGCCTGTCTCAGGACAGTGGAAAGTCGGGCCTAATCCACCTGGTCTCTTCCCTCTTCTCGTGAATCTGGGGGAGGCCCTGCAGGGTCTCCCCACAGCTCCTGCCCATCGTGGTCATAGATTATGGCTCTGTCTCAGCCCCTTGGGCAGAGCTGCCTGGCCCTGTGCAGGCCTCAGGTGCTGTGGAGAGCACGGCCATCGTGGATGCCCCTTTGGCCTCTGAAAGCTGAACACAGACTTTCTTCCCTGAGAGGTACTGTGAGCTGCTCCTTGTTGAAAGGGAGGTTGACTTGGCGGATGCTGGAATTTGTATCTGAGATACAAGTTACTCCTCCATCCATCGAGGGAGATAGAGGTTGGGGAGGGTGGGAGAGAGTCGGGGTGAGTATACCTCCTTCAGCATGAAGAGCCACACAAGCTGAGCCCACTTATTGCTGTGTGTGTGGCCACATGGGCTGGGCGGACTCAGGTCTTCTGGTTGAGGGACACCGTGACAACTGCTTTGTGACTAGCAGGGAGTTGGCCTTGGCCAACTGCTAAAGGTCTTCGTAGTATTTCTGAGTATGATGTGTGGAGACATCTTTGTGGCCTGTAATTAGGTTAGAAAGGGTTTGTGGGGGCTCTTGGTGTGAGGGGTTGGTGGTCCTCTCACCGGACATCTGCTCTGGGGAGAAGATACAAGAGAAGTAATCCTTCATGTTGGGGTGTTAGATGTCTTTGAAAGAACTGTTCCAAGCAGGTGCTTGAATGGCAGCATAATCACAGAAAGGATGACAGGGAGGGGAATAGGAAATGGGGTTCAACACTCCAGACCTTCTCATCACACTCAAAAACTGTCCCGGGTCCTGACATCCTGAGTGCCCAACACAGGACTTCTGCAAGCATTTGTTGAAGGGCCAGTTAATTGCTGTCTATTCCACCTGCCTGGACAGTGACCTTCAACTTGAGCCCCCAGATGTTTTGTTGTAGCTTGGGTCAGAGGTTCAGATTCAGCAGAGTCCTGCGTTGAAGCAAGCCTGACAGATGGGGTGACCCTAGGTATGCCTCGACCCGGTTCTTGGGTCAGGATCTTCCTGAGAGCTGCAGCTCCATGGTTTTCTTTATTCCCACCTGAGTGCAGAGTGCCCAGATGCACCACAGACCTCCTCCTGGAGGGGCCCGGGGCTGTGGGATCTTCGTGCTATAGGTTGAGGACTCAATGCATGAGCAATGAACACACACATGCAAAGATCATGGAGCCGACGTAGGTGCTTGGTCGTCTTGTGACTTTGTGTTTTTCTGGGTTCCTGCTTCCCTGTCTGCGGTGGGCTCCGACCTCCTCAGCATTAGCACCAAGCTAATGTGGTAGGCAAGGGGGCAACCCTGCTGGAGAGAAGGGAGCCCCGTGGGTGTGGGTTCTGGGGAAGACCCAAGCTGGCCGGCCCCCCAACGGCTCCTCGATGGCCCTTTCTCATTGGCTGGCAGGTGCGCTTCCTGGAGCAGCAGAACCAGGTCCTGGAGACCAAGTGGCGCCTCCTTCAGGAGCAGGGCTCCGACTCCAACAGCAGCAACAACAACCTGGAGCCGTTTTTTGAGAACTACATCAGCAGCCTCAAGGACTTCCTGAACGGACTGCACAACGAGAGGGACAAGCTGCAGGACGAGCTGAGGGGCATGGAGGAGCTGGTGGAGGACTTCAAGATGAAGTGCGTGCTGCTGCCAGGGTCCCAGGGCAGGGGAGGGGGAAGAAGGGGGGGGCACCCAGAGGCAGATGCAGAAGGCCTGGGCTCTGTGCTCAGGTGGCATTCTGTGCCAGTTGGCTGCAAGCTCATACAATTGTCTCCTACTTATTCCAACTTTCAGTATCCTGGCCTTGAAAACAGAGGCTCCAGGCCTGTGTGGGTCAGAAAGTCTTTTGGGCATTCGATGACGGGGCACATTCATACGATTTGGAGCATTTGGAGACATCTTCCGAATGAGTTTTTATTTTCCTCTCAGTTGACCTCTAAACGCAAAACAACTCACTTTAGACTTAAGGCTCAAGCTTTGGGGGCCATGTCATGACCAAGCCCTGTTCTAGCACTTGTAGCTCTATAGATTGGGCAAACTCTGGGGCTAAGGGGTGTCCCAGGGTAGGTGGAATGGAAGGGCCTCTTGTCTCCCAGGTATGAAGAGGAGATCAACAAGCGCACGGCCGCAGAGAACGACTTCGTAGTCTTGAAGAAGGTAAAGGAGCTTCTCCTCCCTCAGACCCAATTCTGCCCTAAAACTCGACTGGGCAGATGGCTTGAGGCTGAGGGGAGGTAGCTGTGTCCCTACTACCAGTTTCTGGGCTCTGTTAGGCTGTTTGGGTGAGGGTCAGGCTTCAGGAAGGAGGCCCCGGAGGGGCTGAGAGGGAGGCAGGACCTAGCGCCTCAGGGCCCCATGAGTTCCCTCCTGCAGCAGGCTCTAAGGACCATCCCACTTTTGCCCTGATCTCCTGAGGAGTGCATGGGGGGCACATGAATAGATTAGGCCTTGAGTTCTGATTGGAAGACAGGTAGCAGGAAGAAGCAGGGTTTGCAGTTTTCTTCTCACAGGGTGGTAAGGGAGAGATAAGAGTCTGTCAGAACCTTGTCACATTCTCTTCCTCTGGTCTCAGTGGCATGGCTCTGGCCAGCCAAGTTCCCCCCGAGAGCAAGCACAGGTCCAGAGGCACAGAGGCCAGTCAGAAATGTGAGGACCCTCACCCGCATGAACGTCACTGAGGGGAGCTCTGCCGGGGGCGGGGGCAGCCCATCCTCCTGTCAGAGTTCAGGACTGGGCAGTCTGTGGGCAGGAGGGGACAGTGACTGACTCTCTCCCAGGATGTGGATTGTGCCTACATAACCAAAGTGGAGCTGGAGGCCAAGGTGGAGAGTTTGACGGATGAGATCAACTTCCTGAAGGCCCTCTACGATGCCGTAAGTCTTCAAGCCCCCAAGGTGTCCCAGCTGGCTCTGTCCTGACAGAAACATCCCCCCTCCCCCTGCTCCTCAGTCTGTCCCTGCCCTATACCCTCCCCCCAACCCCCCAGAGTGTGGGTTTCCTCAGAGAGGACATGACTGCCTGGCTCTGTAGGAGCTGTCCCAGATGCAATCAGACACCAGTGACACGTCCGTGGTCCTGTCCATGGACAACAACCGCTGCCTGGACCTGGACAGCATCATCTCGGAGGTGCGCGCCCAGTACGAGCTGATCGCCCAGAGGAGCAAGGCCGAGGCCGAGGCCCTGTACCAGAGCAAGGTGGGTGAGCTCCAAGCAGCACTGGGGTCTTCTCTCCCATGTCCAGGTGGGCAGAGCCCACCCTCCCATTCTGCTGCCATGGCAACCCTGCTACCCTTCCTGCTGGTATGGGGTTACTCCCAGAATCTCCCCTCCTACCCGGGAACTGCCCCCTTGCCCCTGGCCTTAATCTAGTTATCTATGACGTTGCCCCAGGAGACATAGTGGGGGTGCAGCAGGGTTGCTAGTGGGGGCTAGTAGCTAGGAAACCAGGGATGCTGCCCAATGAGCAGCAGAAGATCTTCCCCACAGAAGACTTCCCTGCCCAGAGAGTCAAGGCCAAGAAGTCTGATCTTCAATCCCTCTGGCTGGGAGTGTCTTGCTGGCACTGGCCCATGTGTGGTTTGCATTTGAAGACCCTGCAGGGTTGAAGTCAGTATCCAGAAGAACGAGGGGAAGGTGTTGGTAGGGAGCTGAGCAAGCTAGTCTCTGGACACAAGGAATTCTGGGCACCTTCCCTCCCTGCATCCCCTCCCCCTGACGCCGAACAGGGCTGGCCCCCGATGCTTGTGATTCCTCTGGCTTTTCTTCTGCTTCAAAGCTCCTGGCAGTTAAGGAGATGGTTCTGGCCCAGAATGTGTTTGCAATCTAGTCTTGTGCTCTCACTCGACAGCAGGCTGAGTCTGGTCATGGGCTCAAGTGGTCGTGCCTCAGTTTCCTCATTCATAAAATGGGGATGACAGTGACCGCCTCATCAGGCGATAGTCAGGTGTCAGTAACAAGACACGTGGTGCCAGGTCTGGTCCACAAACGGCAGCTGCTGCACCAGGGATGGAATGCCTGGTTCCTCCGACCTGGTCCAAGGGACCCAACTGTTCCCAGCTTTCCTGCCCATGCCTCAGAGGACCTGGATCAGGGTGCTGGCAGGCCTTGCTGACTTTCTGAAAGTGTGACTCTTTCCCCTCAGCTGGGTGAGCTGCAGAGCACAGCGGGCAGGCATGGGGATGACCTGAAGAGCACCAAGAGTGAGATTTCCGAGCTCAACAGACTGATCCAGAGGCTGCGGGCTGAGATCGAGAGCGTCAAGAAGCAGGTGAGTGGGGGAAGAGAGGGCCAGGGCCAGAGACACGGGCTTTGGCTTGCATGGAGCTCTGGGGCACAGCGCATACCATAAAGGCCCCCGGTGTGGGTCCAGAGCAGCGCCAGCTCGGTGCTGAGCCAGAGATGGTGTTGGGACCTGGGCCCACCTCCCCGGAGACTGCAGGAACAGAAGCTGCTTGCCGGAGACCAGAGCAGGAGACTAGCCAAGGGTCCCCTCTAGAGAGGCTGGGGTGGAAGAGCTTTTCTGCTAACACAGGAAGGCTTCCTGGAGGAAGGAGGTTTTCTAAAGATACTCAAACCACAGAAGAGGAGAGAAGTCGAGGGGGAATCTGATTTCCTGCCCTGGGTCCTGGAGGCCAGGCGCTGCCAAGCCCACTCCGTGTCGTGTTAAGCACCAGATCCAGGCCCAGCGTGAACCTCTGGGGGCTGCCATGCCCTCAACACCCCAATGAGAAGCGGACGCCGGTCACATAGGACCTGGGTGAACGCCCCGTTTCTAAACTGCACTGCCTCCCCCCTGCAACCGCCAGAATGCCAACCTGGAGACGGCCATCGCCGACGCGGAGCAACGTGGGGAGCTGGCCCTCAAGGATGCCAACGCCAAGCTCCAGGAGCTCAAAGCGGCCCTGCAGCAGGCCAAGGAGGAGCTGGCCCGGCTGCTGAAGGAGTACCAGGAGCTGATGAACGTCAAGCTGGCGCTGGATGTGGAGATCGCCACCTACAGGACCCTCCTGGAGGGCGAGGAGTGCCGGTGAGTGGGGGCTCCCCGCTGGGCCCCCAAGCCTGCTGCCTGGACATGCAGGCTCCAGGCCCAGCCTCCTTCCCCGGCTCTGAGAGATTGCCAGGCATCCAGGAGAACCACATTTTCTGTACGACCGACCGTTGTCCCCACACCCCCACCCCACCCCACCCCATCCAGTTCACAGGCAGCACACCAGCACACTCATTACTGGGACTTTTTTTTTTCCCCAATGTTTTTGGACAAATGGGTTTCTGGAGCTGGTCCTTGGACTCAAGGCTCTGACCGATGCCGATTTGGATATTTATTGATTTAATGAATGGGGGGAGGATGGGTAATTGCCAGGACAATCCGTGCTCTGTTCCTCCAACAGTTGGTGGAAAGGGTGGCGGTCTCACCTGACCTCAGCCCAGAGAAACAGGCGTCCAGGGCTTGTTTGTCACCCCTGATGCAGTTCTTTCTGCCATGGCCACGCGCCAGTGAGAAGCTGGGGGGTGGGAGTGAGGGCTGGGGGGCTCCCGCAGCTGCTCGCCCGCGTTGGTGCATTTCACGAGATGGTTAACAGGAGGCTGGTCTTCCCGCAGGATGTCCGGGGAGTGCCAGAGCTCCGTGAGCATTGGTGAGTGTCAGACGTGGCCCTGGGAAGGGGAGGAGGGTCCTTCGCCCCGCGGGGGTCAGAGGCTCTGCATCCCCTCTGCAGGGGGAGAGGTGGCAGAGGGGCCAAGGGGCTCCTCCCTCACAATCTCCGGGACAATCTCCGCGGGCGGTGCCCGGGGACTGCTCCGTGGGTTCAGTCCGGGGGGCGGTCCCTGTGGGCTGGACGCTGGGCCTGAGCAGGCCCCCTCCAGCTATCCTCGGACCCCCGACCTCTCCTCTTTTGCAGAGATGGTTCACAACGCCAGCGGGAGCAGCACCAGCGGCGGCGGCGGCGGCAGCAGCGGCTACCTGGGCGGCGCCAGGGGCGGCAGCGGCTCTCTGGGCGGAGGCGCCGGGGGTCGCGGGGGTCTGGGCAGCCGCGGGGGCTCGGGCGGCGGCAGCTCGGGGGAGCGCGGCGGCTCCTACTCCAGCGGCTCCAGCTCCATGACGCGCCGGGGCGCGTCCGGCGCGGGCAGCTCGGTGGTGCGCGGAGGGTCCTGGGCCGTCGCCGGCGGCAGCAGCAGCAGCTCTTCCCGCAGGTCTCAAAGTTCCTCCCAGAGCCAGCGATCCCAGCAAAAATTCTAGCCGGTGGCCGGGCTCCCAGTCCCTTTCCTGCCACCTTGCACTCCAGCTCTGCAGATCCCTTGCACGCCCTGAAACAGTGACACTCTCCCCCTGGAGGGGTTTCAGACCTGCCCCCCAGGGCCAAGCCTTCCCGGATGGTTGGTACGCTGGGAAGGGTGACGGGCTGGAACGCCACCCCCTCCCACCGGGCCCGCCCAGCCAGTGCCACCGCCCAGCCACTTGTCCCACTGCCCCCTGAGGGCACCCAGGTCCCCGTCCAGGTAGCCAGCAGAGTCCACTGCGCCCCACCTCGCCTTACCCCCGGTCCCCATCTCCTGCTGCTGCTTTGATTTCCCCTTCCTGTCTCCAGAAAAATAGTTTTCTGTTCTGTACCTTCAATAAACTGCATTGTGTTTCTGACATCGTGGTGGAGTTTTCACTGTGGATTCCAAGGCCCTTGGGCCAGGGATGACACTCAGCCCCTTCCTGGCACACAGCGGTGCCCTGCGCAGGGGGAACCCCAGAGTGAGTCCTGAGAGCAGCAGGCAGGAGTTCGGCTTTCACAGAGATCGATTTTCTTACTTGATAAGATTTTGCACCATAAAATTTCTTTGCGTCTGAAAAATGCTAAAGGTTAGAAGGTCTTGCTTTTGAGTAATTTCAAGCACATCTAAGACTGTCTAGTAATTATAGCTGATCATGATCAAGTCAGTTGCTGATACAGTCGAAAATTCAAAAACAATGATAAAAAGGATAAAAGCCAATGTGTTGGATGGACATGCACGTCTGATGAGTACATGCGAACACGTTTGATCTGATGTGCCTTGGAGTCTTAACTACTAAGTTGTGAGAGTGGACAGGTCACCCACCTGACCCCCCACACAGCACAGAAGAAAGGCAGATCCAGGAAATTTATTTATTTTTTCTACTCCCAGCTATGCTCAAGGCTTACTCCTGACTCTGTGTTCAGGGACTCCCAGTGGGGCTCGGGGGCCATATGTTGTGCTGGGGATGGAACCTGGGTGGGCCACATGCAAGGCAAGCACCTTGCCAGCTGGCCCCAGGAAGTGTTTGACCCCAGGAAGTGTCTGACCCCAGGAAGTGTCTGACCCCAGGAAGTGTCTGACCCCAGGAAGTGTCTGGCCCCAGGAAGTGTTTGACCCCAGGAAGTGTCTGGCCCCAGGAAGTGTCTGACCCCAGGAAGTGTCTGACCCCAGGAAGTGTTTGACCCCAGGAAGTGTCTGGCCCCAGGAAGTGTCTGACCCCAGGAAGTGTCTGACCCCAGGAAGTGTTTGACCCCAGGAAGTGTCTGGCCCCAGGAAGTGTTTGACCCCAGGAAGTGTCTGACCCCAGGAAGTGTTTGACCCCAGGAAGTGTCTGACCCCAGGAAGTGTTTGACCCCAGGAAGTGTCAGGCCCCAGGAGGTGTTTGACCCCAGGAAGTGTCTGGCCCCAGGAAGTGTTTGACCCCAGGAAGTGTCTGACCCCAGGAAGTGTTTGACCCCAGGAAGTGTTTGACCCCAGGAAGTGTCTGGCTCCAGGAAGAGTTTGGCCCCAGGAAGTGTTTGATCAGAACACAGGGTGCAGTTCAGGGCAGAGCAGCTCCATACATACAGAGAGAGAAACAAAAAATCAAAGTGCACTCAGATCGATTGGGGGATTGGTGGTGGACGATTGTAATCAAGTAGGGTTCATGGATGTTGTGCTTTCCCATGCCTACGAAAGTTATCTTTACATTCAGTAGCAACCTGGAGCATGAAGCATCATTATGACTAACAAAGTACGGAGCGATAGCACAGCAGTAGGGCATTTGCCTTACAAGCGGCCAACATGGCCGACCAGAGTTCGATTCCTCCGCCCCTCTCGGAGAGCCCGGCAAGCTACTGCCGAGAGTATCTTGCCCGCATGGCAGAGCCTGGCAAGCTACCTGTGACGTATTCGATAGGCCAAACACAGTAACAACAAGTCTCATGATGGAGACGTTACTGGGCCCACTCAAGCAAATCGATGAACAATGGGAGGACCGTGATCATGATAGCTGGGGGGCTGGAGAGATAGTATAGTGGGTAAGGTGCTTGTCTTGCGTGTGGCCGATGAGGGTTTGATTTCTGGAGTCCCATAAGGTCGCCTGAACCTTTGAGGAGTAAGCCCTCAGCATTGCCAGGTGTGGTCCCAAACAAACAAAAACAAAACAAAAGCAAAAACTTTATTGCTATAAAAATGAAAGTAAAGTGAATGCTGTTGGAAAAATGACACCCACCGACTTGCTGGACACAGGGTCTTATGTGCATCTTCCATTTGTAAAAAGAACAATGAAGTGAGATGTGAAAACTGGGTTGGTCTGTAAAGAATGGCTGTGGATGAGTATCTGTGTGATACATTCTTTATAAAATGCAGTCCTCATTAGCATGAAGCACTGACAAAGTTGTCAGATAAACAGAAAGGAGGACACACCTAATTAATGGTGATCACAGAAACTCTCAGTGAAGTGAACACAGCACCCAGAATGTCAAACACTCACTAGACTAGGCAAACACAACCAGAAACCATAGTGTCCGTGAAGAATGTCCCAGCTCTAAATTTTTTTAAATTATGGGTTATTTATTTATTTTATTGAATCATCATGAGCTACACTTACAAAGCTATCAAGTTTGAGTTTCAGTCATACAATGATAGAACACCCATCACTCCACCAGTGTACATTTTCCACCACCAATATCCCCAGATTCTGGAAACAACCCGAGTCCTTAAGGACAGACTACTGGTTAAAGAAACTTTGGTACATCTACACAATGGAATACTATGTAGCTGTTAGGAAAGATGAAGTCATGAAATTTACTAATAAGTGGATGGTCATGGAGAGTATCATTCTAAGTGAAATGAATCAGAAAGACCCATGTCTAAAATCTTACCTGAATTGTCTAATCCAAAGGGAGGGAGGCCACCTGCACTTAGAGCAGGTGTAGTCTCACCTTCCAGAATCAAACCCAAGGCTGGTCACACTTCCAGGTTGTGAGTCGACAGGTGTGTCTTTAGGCTCAGGATAGGAGAAATAACGTTCAGCTTGTCTCCAACTGACCAAGGAATTACGATGGTCCTTGAAGTAGATGGTTAAGCAAAGCTCTTCTATGTCTTTTGAATGGTTCACAATAAATCACATAGTCCTGTTTTCCTTCTCCAGTGATGTTCTTACTGACGAAGGGAAGCTAGGTTTGGTAGGTTAGGAGGTAGGTTTGGTAACAGATGGGTACACATTGGGCAATCCAGTACTCACTAAAACTGATGTTCTCTTGTTACTTGCTTAGCAATCTACTCACGCTTTTATTTTTTATGAATGAGACCGATCATCTTTACAGAGGCAGGCTGTGTTTTACATCCATTTTAAAAATGAATAAACAGAGGGATGGGATGGATTTGTTGATCTAGGGCCATGCAATTAGTAAGTGGTGGAACCAAGATCCAAACTTTCCTTAACTCCAAAGTCCCCCTAAAGAGCCCCATGAGGCAGAAAATCGGACTGTTCAGGGGGCAGTGCTCAGACTTTGGAGCAGGGCTGCTGATGGGAACTGTCCCTGTGTTCACAAGCTGTGATCACCTGACAACCCCCCCTCCCCCAGCCCTCACCCAAGTCCCTCTAGTTAAATAAGATTGTGTGACACCCTCTGTTTAACTCCTGATGCATTATGAGAGCTTAATAAGGGATGGTTGGGCTGGAGCGATAGCACAGCGGGTAGGGCGTTTGCCTTGCACGCAGCCAACATGGCCGACCCAAGTTCGATTCCTCCACCCCTCTCGGAGAGCCTGGCAAGCTACCAAA